GGTTTTGTTGGGTTTCAACATTTACATGGGCTGGGTTGGGTTTGGGTTGGGGCAAAAACCGACCCAACCCAACCCACGCCCACCCCTAGTGAAAAGATCAAAGGATTTGAACAAAACAAATATTTTTTTTTTTTGGATAACTCGTTTTAACAATTTTACCTATCAATTAAGACGTCATTTGAATTAAAATTACTGTTTGAAATTTGACTGACGATTTTATGGACAGAATGCGTGAAATGGACCAACGCTGCAATTATATATAAAGGTTTGGGACTTCAACCGCAAAAATTAAAGGTTTTGGTGTAATCTATAACAAAATGAAATGTTTGGGACCAGCGTTGCAATTTTTTCGAGTCAAATTTACTGTTGAAACGTTGACTGACAGTTTTATGGACGGAATTAAAGGATTGGGATCGACACAGCAACTACATATAAAGGTTTGGGACTTCGACCGCAAAAATAAAAGATTTGGGTGTAATCTGCAACAAAATAAAAGGTTTGGGACCACGACCGCAATTTTCCCTATTTCAAAAATAAGAAAACAAGCTTTAAATTTTCAAAATCAGATTTTTATTAAAAAGTTTTAAATTTTTATTTATGAAATAATAAATAATTAAATTAATTTATTATTAAATATTTAATTATAATATAATATAATTAACCCATCCCACCTTCACCCCCTACCGCTCCGGCGACCGTTCCGATCATCGTCATACTCCGAGGAACTTTCCGACGACTGTTCCAGCTACTACTTCGATTCCGGCTAGCGTTTCGACGTCGATTTTTTCAACGACTGCTCCGCTATATTTTTTTGTACGGTTGACATGTTTTTTTTACGGTCACAAATCACAGCATATGTCACAAGACACAGCTCAGGTCACAAGTCAAGAGTCACACCCCCATATCACAAGTCGTAGCTCAGGTCACAAGTCACAAATCAAGTCACAGGCCATCTTCAATTCCGTGCAACACCACCACAGTACCACCACGGCACAACATAATCTGCCTCTTTTGCTAAATTTACTGCTTCATCAATTTCAGCATCAGTACAGTTCACAAAACTACTGGCAAACTCATGTAACACCACCGCCGCCACCACAAACGTCCCAAAAAACATATACAGCAGAGGAGAGTAGAGGGAGGAAAACGGCGTCGTTGGATTAGAGAGTGACAGGGTCGCGACGGCGACATTGTACCCTTGTAATTGGCAACGGCTCATCAGCGGCGCTCACTGCAGCACCTCAACGTGATCGCACCACCGGCATCGAGCGACGTCAACTGCGGCGCCTCAACGCAGTCGCGGCTGCAGCATCGAGCGATGCCGACTGCAGCACCTCAAAGAGGTCGCGCCACCGACTGTAGCATCGAGCAAGCCAACTCCAATGCCTCAACGCCGGAGCTGTGTCGCCGATGACGAGGTGGTGTAGAGTTTGCTTAGAGAGATAGAGGGGTAGATTTGTGAAATGGAGAGAAATACAAAAAGGGTTTGAAATATAGTATATTTAATTATAATAAATTTTAATTATAAAACATCTAATTTTGGAAATATAAAACATCCAATCTGATTTTAGAAGTTTAAAAACTTAAAGTATGGTTTTATATAATTATCACTAAGATATATGATTAATATTAATTATCGACTTAGACTTAGATCAAAACTTAAGCCAATGTTTG